GGTACAAGATGGACAAAGGCCCAGATGTAGCAGAAGACAAAGGCCCAGTTAGCTATAGAAATTTGTCCTTCTCCTTATGCTCAAGTTCGAAATCATCTTTCCGTAAATTAAAGTTTTTAGAATAGGAGATCAATATAAAGAAAATAAAAACACAGAAACTCTAAATAAACATGTACCTAACCTATTACGTAGCTTTAGTGGAGCCATGAAGGGGTCAGGTTGGTCCCAGGCTCATCCTAATATTATTTTTTTCATACAAAAAAGTTTAGTGTTATGTTAAGTTTTTGCAAGGTTTTTCGGTGGGCTCGAGGCCCCAATCCGACGGTTTTACTTTAATTTCTTTCATCGGGTTTAGTTTGAGGTTTGTGGCTTCTATGGACTTCATACAATCCGTTGATTTGAGTTTTGATGAGGACTCTAGTCTGTGGACCAGTGGAAGAAGAGAGGAAGAAAGTTACATACTTGAGGTTTAGATTTAAAGAAGAAGATGATGCGAACGATACCATACTAAACCCAAACAACGATGGTCGGTTGCTCATCACACGGCAGAATAATTTTGTAAGATAAGAAGAGCATTTCAAATTGAAACTTTTGAGCTCCTTCTAGACTAAGATCCTGGCCCCGCCATTTAATTTTTTTTTGTCCTAACCTCGTTGTCAATACCTGAAAGTGAGAGACTCTCTTGAGATAAGACCCCAACATTGAGATAACACTGGGCCTGTGATTAGGAAAGGAGGAGAAAAAATTATGGATTTAATAATGTTTTTTAATTTTTTTCAGTTACTTGGCGGCCCTGCCGACGTTATTAGAACTTGACAGTAGCAGTCATGCATGCACGTTACTTAATATTGTTTTTATAGGGATTCAACCTCTCTGATATTTCGATGGTAATTAGAGAGTAGATTCCTAGCATGCTCTGGGATATCTTATATATTGGGGGTTATATTTCTGTAGTAAAAAAATTCAATAACCAAAATCTAATGATGGACCAAAAATCCTGATAGATAAGATACACCAAAAAATAATAGATTTTTCAATTAATGAAGGAGGTTTGTTTTGGTGTTTTTATCAAACCAAGTTTACAATGCCATTCTGCATTGACTAGTTTGGGAGGCAGTAGCTTCATCATGCAGCTGGAAAGAAAAAGGTCCCGCTTAGAAAACAAAGTTCGTTAACTTCATGATTCCAACTAGTACACCTACATCTCTCTTTGTGATGAATTGAGACCCTATCCGGACCTCTATTCTCGAAGCCGTCAGACACAGAGATCCGGACCACTCATTTAAAATCGTAGGCTCCCATTAGACCATTATACTGGCCCACTTCACACAAATTAAAGGTCTGAATCTTTCTCTCTCTCTTTCTCTCTTGAACGGTCAGAATCTTTGAATTCGCTGACTCTAAATTTTTTCGATTCAGAGAGGATCTCGATTCATGACCAAAGTTTGCCAAGAGAAATATGTATCTATATGTATATAGTGGCATTGTGCTTCCACAAGGAATAAAAACAAGTAGAAAGCAATCTTTCTTTGATGGGTAAGGCAATGCAATTTTTGGGAGGGACATGACATAAGCTATGACATGGCAACCACTTACATGCAGAAGACAGTGACTCGTCCATTTGATGCAGCTTACGATAGCCATTCGTTCTTCCAACAATCATTCTTCACCAAGGCATCCAACCTCTTGGTTATGAAAGCAAAGTTGAAAAGGAAGACAAAGTTCGAAAAAAAAAAAGGTCGTACCCAGTGCACAAGGCTCCCGCTTTACGCAGGGTCTGGGAGAGGTGAATGTCGGCTAGCCTTACCCCCATTTATGGAGAGGCTGCTCCCAAGTCTCGAACCCGAGACCTACCGCTTATAGGCGAAGGCACTTGCCATCGCACCAAGTGCGACCTCTAAAGTTCGAAAAAAAAAAAAAAAAAAAAAAAAAAAAAAAAAAGACCCAACTCATGTTTTTGCTAGCCTTCTTAGATTATGACACAATAACACGTTACGAGCACGAACAATAAAATAAGTCTATGTGTTGAATTTTATTGAATCTGATTTATGATGAGCTGATAGGGATATAACACATTAATTAAGGGCTCGAGTCAACATTCATTTACAAAACACGATAACCACTTTTTATCTTTGTGAAATGTGTTTTATTTATTGTTTAGTCTATAACTTAATTGGATTCTTATGTTACATGTTTGTCGGTGAAAGGTCCGACATTTGTTCTGTGTATAATGTACTTGGCTAAGCTTTTACGGTAGTTTTAGGTTTAAGGTTATTTTAGTTATGTAATACTTGATATTATTCGATAATATATATTTTTTAAAACATATATTTGATAATATTTTTTATGTTGGAGTTTTCTAAACCCAAAAGGAATGGAGAAAACGAGTAAACATGTGAAACACAGCACAACCAACAAGATTTATAAAGTAGATTGGATTTATATATTTGATGATGACAAGTTAACGTGTTAAATTTGAATTTAACAAGATCTCACATTATATGAACTTCTCATTAGAACGTTACACGCTATGACATGTCTAGTTCACCAACCACACACACACCAAAACAAATTTACATAACGAAACCAGAACTAGGAGTGGTCCCCTTGTTGCATAGAACAAGACAAATGCCAATAAAATTAGGGTGCCAACCATGTTACTCGTACCTAAAATCTGCAATTCTTTGAGGTTCAACTGGTCCCCTATAGTCCATAATACTTGTCGGCATCCTAGAGGTACCTCAACCATTCAATATTTCATACAACAACAAAATCTTATTCTACCCTGGTGAAGTCGGCTGTCTAAAATTTAGAACGCTAATGCGTTCGGTTTATAACATAAAAAAATATTTTTAAAATGAAATCATTTGAACCTACACTATTGAATCCAAATTGGGCAACAAGAACAATTACCATCTTGAGTGGATGCAGTTTGATGCCTAAAAATAAAAGCAAAGAGAAAATGCTCATTTAGTAATCATGGAATCTTTAATTTGCTTCACTCATTCCTCCCCCAATTATGCTAGAAAAAGCATGTTTGCCTCTAGATGTCGCCATGTGTTTTCATTTTTTGTGTTGCTTCCTCACACAACTTCGTATAAATAGCGTCTCTTTTTCACGTAAGTTCGTAAGAGACTGCAAATTTGATAAATTGCTTGAGCTCCACGAATTGAGATCCTCTCTAGATCTCAGTCAAAAACCGACAGAACGAAAAATCTAGACTACTCATTTGTCATTTCATCCATGGCCCTCATTAGTATATCTCGTTAACCCACCTCACACAAACTAAGGGTCAAGATCTCTCTCTCCCTCTATTAGACGGTTCAGATTATTCGGTCCGCTCCGGTCTGCGAGATTCAGAGAGGATCTAAATTCGAGCTCGACAACTGTAAACATGTATTGTCACATCTTAACAAAATACTACTATACAGCTTGCATTCTATTAATGTCATCAGTGGGTTTTGAATCCTACACATCAACTTTTGGCACCCCCTTTTGCTTCTTTTCCTCCCCACCCACTTAATAAATAACCTAATTGTCAATTTTTTTTCAGTATAAAAGACAACCCCAGCACACTACAGCTGCTTTCTATCTTCTTTTCCAACTTCTAATGGTTCTGTACATCAACAAAAGCAAAGTCCCCTCCCACACTTTTGTGTTGCTACTGCTGCTTGTTTGAGCAAGTACACTTGGCACGATTTTCGGAGAGCGTCTGAAAAAAAATTAAGAGAAAAAGAAGGATAACCGATGAGTGAATACATTGCAAATGCAAGTCACAAGTGTTTGAGCTCCACAATTTGTAAATTTTCATGATTGGATTCCGAAAATTACCTGGACTTGAGTTTGAAGGTCTTTAATGTACTCAACAGCCAAATCCAACATGTCGGAAGTGTGTGCTTGCTGCAAAGGAAAGACCTTAGAATCTTAGATGTTTTGAGTCTAGTGTAATCGCTAACTGGTTCATAGATCGAAAAAACAAGTGAAGATTTTACCTTGTCCATGTTTGGTACAAGCTCTTGCAGTTTCCTCATTCGTTCACTAATTCGGGTTCTTCTCACCTGACCGGAACAAAAATAAACATTTTGAGCATTTTAATTTAACATGTACAAATGGAGCTTTTCGTTTAACAGTGTTTAAAGCAATAAGAAGGGTGTACAATGTGTGATATTGAGACACTAAAACAGTACCCTCTCAGCAATGCTTCTTGGGTGTGTGGCGCAGCCCCGCTTTGCTCGAATCTTACAAGGAACAGAATCTTGGAACTGTAAAAACTTTTCAATGGCAGCCATCTCCGCGGATGTTTTTGGCAAGCTCAAGTGATGAGCTAGAAGTGTAGGAGGATGATTTCCGGTCTCCACATCCTGCATGACAGTAATGAAAACTATCAGACACTAGATAATACACAACCAAGCACATTACTTTTTAACACAAATTTGGTACCTGAGTTTCAGATGGACTTAAACCAGTGTATGCTTTCACATCATCATCCCTAAAGCCTGTATCATCACCCAAAATCGCAGAGTCATCCCATGAATCCATTGGGAAACCAGTCACATAATTGTTACCACGGCCATCCCCAAAACCTCGAGCATCTTGACTATTCGATCGCATTCTTTTGTTCCCAATTTCAGAAATCGGACTCATTAGCCCCGATGTAGATGGTGGCCCTGAAGAGAAATTTTTCAACCTGCTCGCAGAAGAAAAAGATGCTTCTTCATTAGTGCTATTACTTGCTCCGAAGTTTCCCATTCCTCTCAATGTACCATAGCCTGCCACTGCCAAATGCTAAGTATCATTCTCAAATCGATTCCATCTTTTTTCTTTTGAATCTAAACTAAGACTAGAATCAAACAAACGGAAGAACCAGAACAATTGAATCTTTCATAAAATGTTTGGTAGATTAGATTTCGTAAGCGACAGTTATCACTAGGTCACTTTATTTCCAACTGATTTATCAGAATGATCTACAAAGTTCATTACTTTGCTAAACAAAATCAATCAATTCAAATAACAGAAAGCAAATATAATTCTGCATACGGTGAGAAAATTAAGCATCCAAAAACTGAAAGAAACAAAAATATGCCTCACAATAATCAAAATTTACTTGATTTAGCACTTCTACCTTTTGGAATTCATCAATGCTGAAAAAAGGAACATACCATCAATGTTCATATTGGAGAACAATCCAGCAGGCGAGCTACTATGCCGAATAAGATTGGAATTTGCGAGATCACCACTGGTTTTCATAGAAGGCAAGTGACTTCCCCCCATTGAATAAGCTCCTTCATTCAAGTTCTGATTAGGCAAAGGCGGTTTCGACGACGGCTGGTAAAATCCTTGAGCAACAGATGAATAGTTGTTCAAATTGCTCTGCTGCTGCTGAATCACCCCCACTTCATCATCAACCTTAGGCACCATAAATTGTGGTTGCTGATTATTAATCTGTGTTTCAACTTTGTGTTGTGATACAATTTCTTCTGTTCCTCCACCACCACCTCCTCCTCCATTACCACCACCTTCACTAGCCAGAAACCGGGAGAAAATCCTCTCGGTTTCAGGGCTAGAAGGCCGATTGAACAAGGGCTCACAAAGCTCTGAGTCCAAAATGTTTGTGAAATATGAGCTGGGAGCTGACCGGTAGCGCGTCAAGCTAGAGTTCATATGCTGCTGGGGTTTGTCATGATGCTGGTGAAGATCTGATTCCATTGCTTCTTTAATTCTTCAAATTCTCATCCAAAAATCCAAACTTCAACAAAGCAATAAACTCCTCCTTTTCTATTTTCTGACCATAATCAGATCAAATCACAAGTAAAAGCTCTGGCTTTATCCCCTGCAAAAATACTCAGAAAACAAAATAAAAGAACCCAACTTTTAGATTCAACCCAAGAATTTAAAGCTACCCAAAAGCCAAATCCATGTAATTTTTACTCGAGTTAAAAGATGTATTGATTCTGCTATAAAAGTAGCTTCTGAAACAAAGAAAAACTGAGGACAGCAGACCCTAAATAGTACCATTTTTTCACTATTCACTCAAAATTTCTTACAAATCCCAAAAACTTCCCAAAATCCACCAACAACTTTCCTATTCCTGAAATCTCAATCACCCAAGTAAGGAAGATAACATAAGAAATCCAAACAACCCACTGAAATCAAGCACAATATCAGATGACATAAGACAAAACCAAGAATATAAGCATAACAATATAAAAAGCAAACCTTTATACACACTCTCTCTCTCAAGAACTTATCTCTATCTCTCTCTCTAGACTTCTTTCTCTACAGTTGCTGATGCTGGTTCTGGGCATGGAGTACTAGTGACAGCGGTGGTGGAGTTCTCGTTGATGCCAGTGACAAGCGACTGTGGAGAGATAAAAGTGAAACCCACAACAAATAATAATAAATAATAATTTAAAAAAAAACCATTTTCTTTCCTCTTCTATTTGGTTCAGCCCCACAGGAGTAACGGAGGACGGAAATTCTAGCCTCTCAAATTTAGTAAGTACTGGTTTGGTATTGATATACTTTTATAAAAAATGGGTAGAAAAATTTGAGCTTAAAAAAGTGTTTTATAAACACTTAAACACAACTTATGGGTGGTTTGGGAGTGAGATGCTTAAAAAAAAGGCATCCATGAAAAAAAACTGTGAGGGTTTTAGGTGTTTGGTAAACTAAAAAAAAAGGGCTTATTTTGGAAGCTACTGTGAGAATAAGCTGAAATCAAAGGAAAAAGCTGAAGCAGCTATTTGTAGCTTTGAAAAACTGGCTTTTTTTTCAAAGCACACGGAGCTACATTGCTCCTTTAATGAAAAGACATATTATTAGACCGTTTTTTTTCTTCCAAAAACACTTTTACAAAAAAGTTTACCAAACACTCTACTGATTTATTTCACAACACTTTTACAAAAAAGTTTACCAAACACTCTACTGATTTATTTCACAGCCGCTTATTCTCACAGCACATCCACTTATTCTCACAACAGCTTTTTTTCAAAGTACATCAATACCAAACCAGCCCTTATTCTCACATCACAATAGAATCAGTTTTTTTTCAAAACACAGCAATACCAAACCAGTTTATATTTTGTAAAGGACCATATTGCCCTCGAAGACTAGCCATTATTACAGAAGAACCAATGAATTCTAAGAGAGAAATGGCTGCAGAATGAATGGAGGGGCAGAACCATAATTATCAAAGCAAGAGTGAATGGAGGGGCAGAACCATAATTATCAAAGCAAGAGTAAAAAATGGCTGGATCTTGTATACGTTAGCAAAACACAGGAGTGGGGCTGGGCTGGGGTTTGTAAAGAACATACTCTAATCCCATTTTTAGCAGAAAAGCTAGGTTTTCTGGTGCGGAGGGTGACCACCAGGTCATGGACTATATGCTGCCCATTGTGAACGTTTGGACCACAACCACTAGTATTGTGGGTGCTGTTTTAGACAGAGACAACTTAGTTGTACACACAGGGAAGGGAACTTGGGTCTTGGGGTTTTTATTTTCGGGTACAAGGAAACTTAATTTGGACTTTGGGCAACCATTAGTTTCATTGACATACAGACTCTGTAATTTGTATGGTATACAGATGTGTGTGAGCAAAAGTATACTACATGTATTAAAAGTTTGGCAAGAGAAGAGAAGTGTGAGAGAAATAAAAAAACTGGTACATAATCTATTTGTAAAAGTACGTTGTTTTTATTTCGCTCATTTTTTACATAGGAAGCAGACCAAGTTTGCTTTAGGTTTCATACTTCCCGTTGCTATTCTCAATAAAAATTGACCACTATGCTTCTCCTTACGTAGTAAGTGTATTTCAAGTTTTGGGATTGATCTGAAATCATTTGGTGCAGGTTTTGATGCATTTCTTCCCAGTTTTGCTCTTGTTTTGGGATTGATCTGGAATCAATTAGGTTTTCTGGTTTCAATAGTTCGCGTTGCCAGTGTATGCAATTGATTCCAATCCCATTACTGCTACAATGGAAATTGTAGCAATATTCATTTGGTCTTCTCATTAACATGATTTTCGTGTGGGCAAGATGCTCGAGCAAAATGCCTCAAAGAGGTTGAGGCAGACATGGTGGAGCCAAGGAAACTTTATCGTCACTGTGTACTGTTGAGCCTAGCTTTCTTATCACACCAGTGGTCGTACTGTAGAAGAATCATAGTTTCTCTCAATTTATAATTGCCATTCTCTTTTTTAAGTTTTCTTAGATCATATTAGCCACAATATTTTGTGGTGGATATGTATAGTAATATATCATATATGTGGATTTGCTTCTACCCTCATGGTGGTCAACATGTGGGTCTTAACATTTCATATGAAGCAAAACGAATGGCTTATTTCTTTGTTAAAACTGTTGTTAGATTAGATTTTGATTTTGACCATTTGGATAAGTACATTAGTATGAAAGAATATATAGGATTCGTGTGCAAACGTTTTTAAAATGTCTAAAAGTGTTTTCGGGGAAAATATTTTTGGACTTTAAAAGCATATGAAGTGTTTTCTATAAGAAGTACTAGTTATGTATTTTTCGTAGGAAACACTTCAAATGTTTTTTCAGGATTCACTTGCATTTTTACTAAAAATTGATCTCAAAAACATTTTCATAAAAAATACTTCATCCAGTTTAAAAACAATCTCAAACGAGCAAGGAGTTTATATTTTGAATATGGCTATTCATCATACCAAACACAATAACAACAACAAAGCTTTATCCCACTAAGTGTGGTCTGCTGTATGAATCCTAGAACGTCATTGCACTCGGTTTTGTGTCATGTCTTCCGTTAGATCCAAGTACTTCAAATCTGTTTATCATACCATACACAAAGTAACAAAATCAAAATCAAAGTTAAATCAAACAACCAGAGTTTAATACAAAATATCCATCTCGTCAGTTATAAAATCCGGGATGTTAATCAGAGGCAAGTTACCTCCTCCAGTTCCACAGAAACCCAAAAATTAATTAACATCCTCCATCACTTTTGGAGAGACTGAATAAATAATGATCTTCTGTTAGATTCACAAATCTGGAGGACATTATTTTTTTGCTTAATAATTCCTAGATTATTTTTTTTCCTTAATAATTCATGACGTGCTGCAGAATACAGATTGTGGGAGTTCAAGGTTAATGTTTTCAAAACAAGGGATTACTTTCTTAATTAGTTTTTGGTGCTTAAAGAAAGGATCTTTTTGCTATTTAGTGGGGGACCAATGTTGCCCCGAGGAGTCTTATACACATAGAGAGATGCACATATTGGCACATGAATTTTATTAAGTAGGGGCAACCCTCGTACTAACAAACAAAATTATGGCGTTAAATCGGGTAATGTTAGGGAGGATAATTTTTTAGACCAGATTTGTAAATTATATGACGTGTTAATTGATGATTGAATTATTACTTAAGTGTTATTAATATGCTTATACATTATTGATGACAAATCACATGATTTAAAAATTTGTCTAAAAATTTGATATACATACTATTACTCCGTTAAATCGAAGATACATATGCATTATTGAGTTGAATTTTTATTAAAGTCGTTGATTAAAATTTAAGAGAGATCAACCATTGATGTTCTTCCCTTCATCTATGTGTTGGTGTATTAGGGTTTCATCTCAATAATTAATCTGATCAAATTTGCAGTGCACTTATCAAAAGCTCAAAAGTTAATGGTTCAATATCTATCGAATGCAAGCTACTTTTGGGTTCACTAGTTGATTAATATATAGGAATCCAAAAATGGGTTTGGCCAAATTTGTTTTGGTGGTAGAAAATGTCACATGTAATTAGCTAATTAAACTAATTAAAACGTGTATAGAGCTTTGCTTGGATGGAAAAAATACAAGGTTAATTAATTATTAAGGATCTTACAAAACGGGCAGTCCATTTAACCTAGGTGCTTCATTTCCTATTCGAATAGTGCATAACTGCATGGATATATAAGCTCACACTAACCGTCAATTTGAGATACAATTCGGATTTTTTTTTGGGAGGTATCGGGAATGAATTGGAATGTAATAATATCGATTTATATATATACATTTATATAGATACAAGGAGATTCCGAAATTGCAGAGGCTTGATCCGTTCAAGTCGTCGAGTATTGGAAACAAGCAATAGTGCTTACTCCTGGGTAATTATATTGAAGCATAGAATTGGTTGAAGATTACAAGGCATTTCAAATAAGAACAGTTGATTATTTTTATACTAATCTTCTTAAAGGTGCTTATGCACGTAATCATATTAAATTAGCACTTGATTTGAGCCAGCTTATCCACGATTAAGCTTTAATTAACTAAGCTTCAGATCTTGATGAGATTAATTAAATCACAAAGTGACAAAATAGTTGAGTGGAGACTAAGGAGCTGTGCATCATAGTATTAGATAATGTTGTATAATTCAATGGATATTTTTTTTTTTTGAAAAGCAGTAGAGAATTAGGTAAATAAGATGTAAAACATTTCTACTCATCTTCTAAGTAGTGTCATAACATATAATGGCATGTGATGAATGCTTGACCCACCACAAGAATAAATAGTCTTCAATCTTCTATATATTCTAGGTTACTCCAAAATTCATCACATAGTGATGAATGCTTGACCCACCACAAGAATAAGTAGTCTTCAATCTTCTATATGTTCTAGGTTTACTCCAAAATTCATCATATAAGTGAGAAAACGACCTGATAAATTTAAGCTATTATGAGTTTTGGAGTTTATTTGGACCAATGTATTTTGAAAGATGGCCACTTAATTAGTACTACGGTCTAATAGTATTCATCTTCATTTGTAAGTGAGAGGTCTTAGGTTCGATTCTCGCAAAAGACGAATTTGAACCACATTATTGCTAGCCTATTGTGAGGCCTAGCCCACCCCCACCCTCTCCCCCTTAGTATAGATAATATCGTTTGTTCATATATATATATATATATATTGAAAGATAGATGTGTAAATGAAGTGATCAAATTAAATATATATTTGTGGTATTTTATGATAGGTTTACTCATTTCAATAAAAAATTCTGATATTGTTTGCTCCCTAAATCCACCATGGGCCTTGCGGGCAAGCCGGGGATTTACTTCACATACGAGATTGGTGGGTGCGGGCGTGCCACTACTAGATTCCGCTAGTAGACGGGATTTGAATGATTGAGGTTGCGCCTGAGTTTGACTTCGAACCAAGAGATTGTGCCATTGAGTGGGAGTTA